TATATATATATTCTATAATTGAGGGAGAGGGGATTCGAACCCTACTTTTTAGGTAAGGGGATCATGCACCAACCAATTAGCTAAATGCTCGGATGCTATCAGAATATATATTGCTAATTATCATAGCTGAAGTCACTTATAGCGTTAACAAAAAAATGGTTCAAGGAATTTCCAGCACAGAAGTTTTTTTTTTAATTAAAAAAAAAAAGAAAAGATAAATTTCTAGATGACTATAGCATGCCACCCCAGTTATGACCTTCCAATTGGCAATTTACCAATGCAAGCATTCCTATATCTGCTCACATGTCTAAAAGAGAACTTCATGTGATTAACAACGCCTAACATTTAACAATGCAAGCACTAGTACATGTTTAAAAAACAACTTCATGTGATTTTTTTTTTTTTTTGAAAAGTAAGACAACTTCATGTGATTAACAATAGAGACCCAAGCAACCAAGCCTTCTTTTTCAAGGAACACCAAAGCCTGGATAGTTAGGTGAAAGACTTAACATGTCTACCTGGAATAAAGAAATCAACAAAAATAAAAAATGTTATGGGATAACAATCGTACAGCTTTTGAACCCAAATGTTCTCAGAGCCCTCTTATCCTTAAACCCAAATGAGGCAGATATATACAAATTCTACAACAACAAAAACAGCAGAGGGGCACGATGGCCAATAAATACCAAAAATGAATTGGATGCAAATGTGTAATAATACTAGATAAAGCATTAACATACGCAAGGAACCTGAAAGATATAAAGGCCAAAGGAAGCCATCCATGAAAACTATTTATTTCTGAGAGCAATGTACATAAATTTCAAAGTAATGAAACCTGTTCTAAACTAGAAAACCTATGATCGTATAACTTCATGAAACAGAGCATTAACAACCCCATAACATGCCAAAAACAGAAGCTATGACTCTTCCTTCGAACCCAAAAAAAAATGCCCGCTTTTAAATGTTTAAAAAACAAAAAAGAAAGAAAACATATAAATCCCACAAGAATTATTATATAAAGACCAATTATTTCGACTTCTAAGTTGAAGCATTAGATGAAATAATCACTACTACTATGTAAAATAACAAAAAAAAAACTATAAAAAGAAAAACAAAAGAAAACAAAATGCAAAACGAAGGAACATCAATCTCGATCACATATCGAAGCTGAAACAAAGTTAATTCTAACAAATCTCACATGGAATCCTCACTTGTAAACCCAATCAAACCATTTCCAAGAAGCCCCATTTCCCTTAAAACCACCAAAGCCAAAGACCAAGTCCTCACTGCAAACCAAAGATGAATGAAACCTTTCAAGGAAAAAAAAAACGATTGCATGAAATGAAAAGACCCCATAAAAACATTACCCGAAGTTGCCTGAGAGCTCCGACAATTGTCCACTTTCGAACGAGTTTGAAAGCAATTGCCCATGCCACTATCTCCCTTTCCTTAAATTCAAAAGCTAAACAAGAGAAGAAAAAATGGAAACCAAAAAAGAAAAAGAAAGCTAATATTCTGTGTGTCTGTTTGTCTAAAAGCCTTAAAAAGAAGGTGACTGGACCATGCTAACGTGATCCGGTGGAGAGGGCTCTGCTTCTTCTCCTTCTCTTCAAAGAAAATGAACATTAAGGCAGAGACAAACGAGGTTCGCTTTTTTAATACTATTGCTTTTTTGTGTTTTTGATACAAACGTGGTAGAGGAAATACATTGGAAACAGAAATTAATTACTGTAATATTTCATATGCAACATGCTGTTGGACTTTTATAACCCTTATGTGCCGCGTTGTGTTCGAGACGTAAGGGCTGAGGGGAGGGTAAAATTGACAATCAGTCTACTTCGGTGAATACTTAAGATTAACGTCACGTACTCCGTCATCTCATTCCGTCACTGCTCAATCAAAACAGTAATTATGAACTTCTTCGTAGCTTTGGGCCCACAAAAATTTGGCGTTTTTCTGAACAAAGCCCAAATATGGCCCACATGAGGTTGATTCGGACACAGACGCCAATTCCATTGTGAGGTCCACTCCATGATAGGCTCTGTTTCGATTTGTGGGAATTAAATATTTTCTCCGTTCTGCGTAGACCTTCATGAGCAAGAGCCAATAATAGCAGACATTTATTTATATCTAAATATACTCGTGAACAGTTGAACATTTCTGATTGGGAAGTACTGAAGTACTGTTGGACCTTAGCAATGAACGTTTAAAGAAAAAGGCGTGCAATCTAACACGCGTTCCCCCTTATATTTTCCTTTCTCCTTTCTTGATGTAACATTTCTTTTAGAAGCACAAAGACTCAATGGCTCTTAACGTTTCCTAAATTAGATATACGTTGAAACTAAAATTTTTGGTGTAAGCACTTAGTATTTTACTTGATAAATTCACATACTGAGACTCCAATTAGTACAGTAAAATAATTTATTCATAAAATAAATTTTTTATCTATAATATTTTTTAAAAAAATTTAAAGTTTTTTATTATTTGGATACACATTCAAAAATATTTTGTTATGAAATATAAAACAACTAGAAAGTATTTAAAAAGAGAGAAAATATTTAAAAAGAGTAAGAAAATCTCATTCACATCCATATTTATACATGAAAAGAAATGGCCTATTTATGACTAATAACTCCTTATATAGATAGAATTTATAAAATAAAAGATAATACTAAGGGACTAGCTAGAAGGATTAAATTCTAATTTTAATTCAATCTAATTTACATCCAAATCTAGATATAGATAATATAAATAGATATTTATAAAAATATTCATAACAATTTTTTATTATTTGGATACACTGTCAAAAATATTTTCAATTGCTTAGAATATCTTATAAAAATATTTTCCATCATGACATATCTTCAATAATTTTTTAGCATAACACCATAAAAATGTTAAAAGTCATCCAATGCAATACATCCAAAACATTTTTTTCAATATTAAATTATTATATATAAATAATATTTAATTCTTTCTATTATTTACTTCTCATCATATTGTTTTATTGGTTAGTTTGTTAAGTTAATAAATCATAAATTAGAAATTCAAAGAAAGAAAAGATTTTCATATGTGAAAAACTTATTTCCTATTTTATATAATTTTTTTCTTTAATTGATCTTAATTATTTTGTATTATATTAAAGATTGTAGTGTTTTAGTAAAAATAATTATAGTGATATGATCTTTATGAAATACGTGAATAACAATAATTATACTTTATTATTTTATTGTTTTGTGGGATCTATCCCATAAGAAGGGAAAGACAATATTTTCCAAGTAGGATAGATCACATAGAGAGGAGAATGTAAATGAAAAATGTTTTATGTTTTTTAAGCGTAAGACATTTTACGTTAGTTAATACAATTTTTTTCGTTGCTCTGTAAAATATTTTATATTCATAAAAGTTTTTGACCTTTCAAACAATGAAAAAGACTAAAATCCTTTTCAAAAAAACTTAATAATTAGTCTAGTTTGTTGTATTCTTTTAATTCATTTTTCTTGATCTTGTTTTTAGGTTGTTATGTTTTCCAATTGCAATTAATGTATTTCTTGTTGAGTTTCAAGTAAAACCTTTTTTTCATTAAAAAAAAAAGAAAGAATTCAAGTTCTATTCATTTCCGTGAGTTCATGGTTGAATGTTAAGTTAGGTAATATATTGAATGCAATCTTGGAAACATAATTTAATATGTAGCTATAAGTGTGTGGTCCTAATTTTAGTTGTAACAGGGCCATTTTCTTAATTATAAGTTGTCCTTGCAAATCTTTAGAAAAAAAATATGAAAAGTTTAACCACAAAAAATGTCATATTATTAAGATACTAAAACTATCAGAATTGAGCCATCTGACCTTTTTCAGAAGTCTAAACATACATCAATTCACCAAAAAGAAAAAGCTCCTACTTAAAAAGATAGTGATAGCTGCACTTTTATATCCTGTTTACACTTTTTTTTTTTTTTATGTTTCACACATGTTACATCGGCAACATGATTATATAGTCATGTCATCGGCAACATAATTTAACACGTGTTTCACACCTATTTACACTAATGAAAAAAAAGGAACACCTCCTCTCTCTCTCTCTCTCTTCATATATATATA